AGACAGCATAACCATTCCTTTCCTGGCGGCCCATGCCCTTTCCCTGAGGCAGTTAGTTCCACAAAGAAGTGACAATGCCTTTGTCAATGGCCTCACCTGCCCCATCCCTCAGCTCCCTCATTTTCTCTGAAAGGTACTTGGAACACAGATTTAAAGCCACTCATTTGGCGGGGCACGGTGGCTCACACCTGTAATCCCAGCACTTTGGGAGGCCGAAGCAGGTGGATCACTTGAGGTCAGGAGTTCGACACCAGCCTGGCCAATATGACGAAACCCTATCTCTACTAAAAATACAAAAAATCAGCCGGGAGTGGTGGCAGACGCCTATAATCCCAGCTACTTGGGAGGCCGAGGCAGGAGAATTGCTTGAACCCGGGAGGTAGAGGTTGCAGTGAGCCAAGATCGCGCCATTGCACTCCAGCCTGGGCGACAGAGCAAGACTGTCTCAAAAAACAAACAAACAAACAAACAAACAAAACACCACTCATTTAGACAGGAGTGCCAAATAGGTGCTTCTTCCCCCATCTTGGCCCAACTTCCTGCCTGCCTGTAGCCCAGAAGGCGTACCTGGGCAGAAGCACGGCAGAACACTCTGCTGGGATCCCTCTGGCCACAGCCACTCACAGAGAGTGGTCACGTGACATGAGGAGGATTCAAAACCAGCAACCAGAGTGGTCCCAGCTCCTTCAAGCTCAAGGATCTAGGGGATCCTGATGAGTCTCCAGACAAGAGCGCAGGAGAGGAGGATGGAGGGAGGTGGCCTGCTGGCCTGGGGGTGTTCTCTTCTGCCTCACTGTCAGCCTTCTGCTTCAAGGTAAGATAGGACAAACACAGAGGAAGATGGGGATATTGTTTAGGGCAACATCCAGGAAACTTCTCATTCTCCAGAGCTGCAGAAAATTCAAAACAGACAGGTTAAAATTCTCTGTAGGATCCATGTTTTGGCTTCCTCTTAGTTGCAGATGAAACGCCGATTTCACTGGTCAGTACGTACAGCCCCGCTCTCATTTGCCTGCAAACTGTCTGTCCCTCCATTTTCCCACCTCTCCAATTCCACTCTTACGTAACGGCCAACTCTTCCTTTCTACCAAGCTATCGTTACTAGAACATAGCTCAGGTCCTGTTGACAATAATTTAACTCCTTTCTGGTGTTGCTTGGGAAGATCTTGTGGAGGAGGCGATGTGGAGCGAAAGAACATTCACTTCCCCTGGGATGTGCTTCTCTGTAGTTTGGAGATGAACCTTATGAATCACCTGGTATGGAAAGATAGTGGAAGAGGCATGGGAAAGGACTTTCTGGGCTATAGTTACAGGAATAACCAGGGGTGGGGTGTGGGTGAGGTGGAGAGAAGGGCTTTTCACTTCATTGTGTGGCTCCACCAACCACATGGTGGATGGATGGTCCAAGAGATTTTTGCAAGATGGTGGTGATGAAAATGGCGCCCACAGATCTTAGAGGAATTTGAAAGGGGCAGTAAATACCACACATAGGAAGTAGTCAATAAACTCACATTGAATACAACATTCCTTTATTCCCTATATATTTTATGTCACACGCATGTTTATTTCTTTCTAAATTTTCCTTTCAGACGTCAGGAAAACCTCAGAAGAAGAGGGAAAAATGGAGGAAAAGCATATTAGGAAAATTTTGTTCAGTGGCTACAAGGAAGAATCACAATAGAGCCAGAGGGTACAAAAGGAAGGTCAGATAAAGGCCAAAGCCTTAGGGTTGTATGGAGGGAATAGAACTCCCTGGAGGGGCTCTCTGCATGGAAATTTACGTAGGTTTATATGGGAGCAAAAACACAGGAAGAAAGGCCTGGGCTCTGACTCAGCTCACCACATCAACTTCCACCATTTGCCTACCAGCCCAGCCCACTCTCCCACTTCTGGCAAGAAGGGAATCTTGGCCCAGGAAGGAGGGGCTCACACGCCTCTCCCAGAGTTCACATTGTTTTTCTCTGCAGAGAGGCTCTCAGGCCCCAGCCCTGGTACCTCTCTCACCTAGCAAACAAAGAAGGTCTCAGCTCTCTACAGGAGAGACAAATACTTTTACCATTAATTGCTCAGGCTTTTACCAGCATGGGGTGGACCCTGCTGCCTTCCGGGCCATATTTAACCAGAAGGCCTTCTGTCCGGTCATCAACTCCAGCCTCCCCGCTCATGTCAACATCTCCTTCACCCTGTCTGCCATACTGGAAGTGGTGAGATCTGATCCCTGCAGCCTTTCCATGGCTTCTAATAAGGAACAAACACTCCTTTTTTGTTGCTGTTTTTTGTTTTTGAGACAGAGTCTCACTCTGTCGGCCAGGCTGGAGTGCAGTGGCACGATCTC